TGCTGTCCCCATGCCAGGCGCCGCAGGTGCGAGGGGTGACTTCATCCGAAGCCCTACGCGGAGGGCTGAAGCAGCTGCCCGCTAGCGCTTTCTTCAGGTCATTTTCTTTCCAAGCGAGCAGTGTGTGCCTCGTGCGTCTCACTCAGCGTTGCAGCTTGGCCACTAATTTCATTTTTATTAATTCAAATAGAAAATCTTTGTTCTTTATGAACTGGGATCAAGAAAATGCAGAAAGAGACAGAGCAGGTTGTAAAATGAGGAAGTGCAACCTCTTCGGAAAAACAAAGTTTTCTTGGTGTGTCTGGCCTTATTCATAGAAAATATTTTACTTACGTTTTGATGACTTTGGTTTTCATGACGACTTAAAATATATAATATAAAAGTCTGCTCCCCCCTGGAATTGTTTCTCTGGTGGCATGCTGAGTCCTTGTTGAAAGGCAGCAGCTTAGGCTAGCGGTAATTACATAAGGTCTGTAGATAAGTCTCTTTAAATTTCAGTTGAACGTGTCCTGAAGGCTTATCTTTTTTGTAGGCAAGTACTGAAAAATAGTCTTAAATCTGAGAATATTCTGAAAGGAGGTAAAGAATGCATCTGCATTAGTAAAAAATCTGATTCTTTTAATAAAGATTTTTATAATGTATGTTATGTATAACCAAACTGTTTGAAATAGTTAAGTAATGTTGTCAAGTTGTTTTAAGCAAAGAGGTAAGAATAACAGTTGAACTGACAGGCGTAGTGTTCTCTTACTCTCTGGAAAAATATCAGTAGCTGATTTGGTCTCCTGAAGTGGGTTGGGTGTCTGGGTGCGTGGCAGGGCTGATGCTTTAAAGGAAAAAACTGAGAACTGCTGAAGACAGTAGATTTAAAGGTGGTCTTCTGCTATTGTGTAGATGACAACTTGAAGAGCATCTGAACTGTTCACTCTTCAGAGATTCCTTTTTCAAGAAAGCAGTTGCAAAATCTGCTGTTTCCAATACTCCCTTGGATTTACTAAATTAAAGAACCATTCAGACTACGGAGCAGTTTACACTGACAGTCATGCAGCTTGTTCTCAGACTAGCTGGAAGTGTTCTATGGCAGCCAGGTTATCAGTGTAGTAGTACTCCATCCAGATTCCATGTTTACACTTCGGTATGACAGGTTCTGCTAATTCACTTCTGGTGAGGTGGTTACTGTCTCTGGACTTCACATTTCACTTGAAAGGTGGGGAAATGGTGCCACATTCTGCACCTTCATGTGAAATTTCCCTGTACTTTTGGGGGTACATCTTAAGAAGCTTGTTCAAGGATACGCATAATCGTTTTGGGCTCGCTAGATGCTTAAAGCAGGCTGTGAGGACTCTGGGGAGTGACACCTTGATGTAAAGGTGTTTCTGCTTTCGTAACACTGTTGGTCAAAGCACCTGAACTGCTGTGCTAGGTATGCCAGTTTTAGTCTGTTTGCTCAGCTGATTCATCTTGGTTACTGTCTCAGAATGTCACTGCTCACCCGTGATTTCTGTGAGGCAGTATTTGTTAGAAAACTGACTTGTGCCACTATGTTTTTTAAAAAAAAATTAAAATTATGACTGATCCTCATCTTAAAGCTGAGGATCCCAAGGTAGTTGGTAAACATGTCTTAAGCAGTTGTTTCAACCAGTAAAACTACTGATTTATGAAAATGTAGAAGCGTATGTGATTGTATACAGCAAGTTGTGGTGTTCAACTATGAAATTCTCAGTCATTGGACTGTCCTCTGGTGGGAGCTTTATTCAGCCTTTTCAGTTCCTCCAGCTACCCAGCACTGGAAATTAGTGTAAGAGCTGAAGAAAGAAGGAAATTGTGGTCAAACAAGGTACCTTTTTTCTTTTGACTATGTTGCTGTGATTATGTATAGTTACAGATGGGCTTCATAAACAACAGGTTATTCCTCCCAGTTGGTTTTCTTCAGAGACCTTCATAAAATGGTCAGATTGATACCATGCTTCTAGTAAAAAAGTAAAAAGAAGTTTGAAAGTATAATCTTCACAGTTCTGCAGATGATGCTGGTTTCAGTGTTTACAAGGAGTTTGTGCCTGTATTTACTGAAGAGTCTGGGTGGCTGTCTGACTCCCTTAGGCTCTCTTTTCTGGTGAAAACTTTTTTGTGCTCCATGTGCTCATCAGCCTCTTCTAGCTCTGAAACTTTGGAGAAGGAACTCTCAGTTTTTTGGGGAGTAGGGGAGAGTTGTCTGGAATGTGAGTTTGAAAACAGATGGGGATGGTAGGGAAGGGATTATGTAACCGAGAGCTGTTGGTTAAACACTGAGTGATTTACATAATGGCTCCTGAGCAGTCTGCACTTCCTAAGCAAGCTGTGGCTTTTTCTGCACTGAGCAGTGACACGTTTGTGCCGATGTGCCAGCGTTCTGACACTGCACCAAGCGAGCAGGTTTCTGCCGGTGGTTATGTAACGGTATGGGAAGTGCTGTGGTTCTGTACAGGCTCCCTGCGCCAGGATTCACAGCAGCATTTTCCCAGTTCCACGTTTCCACAGACTTAATTCCATTTCAGAGTCCTCTGGCTGTTTGTAATGCAAGGTCTAGTTTTGCACCACGTTAACAAAGTGCTTGCAATTCTGTACATACCCACTGTCTGCTGATTTACTGAGTATTCTCTCAGGTGTGCAGCCCCATCTGTTAAAACTTTGACACTTTCCCACTTAGGAGAAATGGAGCTGGATAGAGGAACACTGCGTGCTGCTCCGTGGCTCTTCTGGAGTTATGCTGTATTCAATTTAGGCATTATCAAATTGAAAAATTGCACAAGTTTAGCTTACTCAGACAGTTAATGTTGTTGTTTTGTAGTTGCATTTAAATTTCCATCATTATTTCTAATGATAATAATGTGCAAATTTATCTCAAATTCAATTTAAAGCAGACATTTTAAAGAATCATATTACTGCTTAAAAGACTGTTGACTTTGTAACAAGACATCTGGATCATGTGGGAATACAAACATTAAAATGTGACTCTTAGCTGAACTTCTAGCATAAAATTGTTGCATTGTTACAAATATACAAGGTACATGGAGAAAATAAATCCATACAGCAGATGTATCATGTTCCTGATTAACATTTTAAGTTCTGTAAGGTTTTTCCTAGGTAAGGAATGTTACAATAACATCTGAAAAAGCTCATTGAAAGATTGGATTATAGTCCTGCTACTGTACAAGATCTTGCTTTTCCACCTTTTGGTTAACAAATCAACAGAGAAATACCACTAGAAGAGTCATAAGCCTCATTCTTAATAGGGTTCTGCCTTGGTCGTCATACAAATCGATATGTTAGCTTTTGAAAACTTCATTTAAAGTAGAATATTTCCTATGAGTACAATCAGTCTTTATTGCAGAATCAATGAGATTTTGTTGGCAGTTGAAATGCAGAATCTCTCATATGTTGTTATAAACTCTGGGACATCCTGGAGTTAGAACTCTACTGCTGTAATTTCATCAAATAACTGTTTCTGTTATCCTAAGCTCATGCTTGAAATGCTCAGTCTATCTCAGCTGGGTGATATGTGTTCGTAGCTCCTGCTGTAGTTGATGAATCCTCTTGGACAGATGAAGCACATCAAAATCTGCTGTCATAGCCATTTGTGGCCAAGGTACAACTTTCAGAAAAGGGAGAAATAGAAGTATAGCAGTGGCATGGGCTCCAGAAATTTTTGGGTTGAGTTCCATGTGGGTCTGCTTAAGTGCTATTTGATAAAGTGTAGAAGGAAAGATCAATACTTTACTAAGCAGAATTTCTGTTTCTTTTTGTTTTTCTCTTCTTACAGCACAACACTAAATTTGTAATGAAATGGAGTCTGGGTCAAGCTCTTTTCGAGTGGAATTTCCAGATTTTTCTAGCACCATTTTGCAGAAGTTAAACCAGCAGCGCCAGCAAGGACAATTATGTGATGTGTCCATTGTAGTTCAGGGCCATCTCTTCAGAGCCCACAAAGCTGTTCTTGCAGCTAGTTCACCTTACTTCTGTGATCAAGTTCTCCTGAAGAACAGCAGGCGAATAGTCCTGCCTGATGTGATGAATCCCAGAGTGTTTGAAAACATTCTCCTGTCCACCTATACAGGTCGGCTGGTAATGCCTGCTCCAGAAATTGTTAGCTATTTGACAGCAGCTAGTTTCCTTCAGATGTGGCACGTAGTGGATAAATGCACGGAAGTGCTGGAGGGGAACCCGACAGTTCTGTGTCAGAAGATGAACCACGGCAGTGACCATCAGTCCCCGAGCAGCAGCAGCTACAATGGGCTCGTTGAAACCTTTGAACTGGGTTCTGGAGGACAGACGGAATTCCACAAGGTGCAGGAGCTAAGGGATGGCGAAAACGAAGAGGAGAGCTCTAAAGATGAGCTGTCGTGCCAGCTGACAGAACATGAGTACCTTCCCAGTAATTCTTCTACAGAACATGACAGGCTCAGCACTGGAATGACAAGTCAGGATGGGGAGGAAGGAACCAGCGACAGCGCAGAATATCAGTACACCAGGCCGATGTACAGCAAACCCAGCATCATGTCTCACAAGCGGTGGATCCACGTGAAACCAGAAAGATTTGAACAAGACTGTGAAGGTGTTGATAATCCTTATGATGAACACCAAGTTTCTGAATCCATGAATGCCATTCAGGCAGATCATTCAATCCAGTCTTCCGGTGTTGAAGACTTTCATATAGGTGACAAAAAGATGGAAGCAGAGTTTGATGAACAGGCAGATGAAAGTAATTATGATGAACAAGTTGACTTCTATGGCTCTTCTATGGAGGAATTTTCTGGGGAAAGGGCAGATGGAAATTTAAGTGCTCACAGACAGGATCTTATGATAGCAGCAGGCTACGGTGAAGGCATTGAAATGGCTGCAGGAATTAAAGAAGAAACGTCCCTCACCGGATTCTCGCACGCTGATAAGCTGTATCCTTGTCAGTGTGGGAAAAGCTTTACACACAAAAGTCAGAGAGATCGGCATATGAGTATGCACCTTGGTCTTCGACCTTATGGCTGTGGTGTCTGTGGTAAGAAATTCAAAATGAAACACCATCTTGTAGGCCATATGAAAATTCATACAGGCATAAAACCATATGAGTGTAACATCTGTGGGAAAAGATTTATGTGGCGGGACAGTTTTCACCGGCATGTGACCTCTTGTACCAAGTCATACCAGGCTTCTAAAGCTGAGCAGAGTACTACTGAGATGAACTAAGTCATCGGTGCTTACGTTTGTTTAGCAGAGTAAGCAAAATTAATTATGCAAATAATGTCTGGTACTTGCTATTGTAAATTCTCCAAAAACCCAAGTTTTAATGATTATGCTGGTATAAGCAGACCAAACTTATTTTCCACAGTATTACTCCAGGTGTTCGATGTGTGAAGTGCAAATGGTTAATCTGAGAGGTGCTTGCGAAATGAGGTCTGTTAGGTCTCTGTGACATGGATTGTAATGACGGCAGTATGTAGGAGCCCTGTTGGTTTTTTAAGTCTTCTAAATTCGCAGCAAAACCCAGCTCTAAATTGACCCTAATCCTGCAAATACTTAGATGAAGCAGGAATTCGAGTAGCCCTACTTAATGCAAAAGAGAACAAGGATGACCAAGCCAGGTTATATGATTCACGTTTTAATGAAAAAAATAATTGGACTTCCACCTTAAACTGGACACTGCCAACATACTTAACATGCATCATTAGATAGTCTACATCATTAAACAGCCTTTGCTGTATTGCTTAAGGAAAGGCTGTGTTAAAGGTGGTTTGGCTTTCCTTTATATGTCTTCCATTTTTTAATCCATCTTCAGTAAAACAAATGTTGTATAATTTTGTGCTGATTTCTATTTAGAGTCTGTAAAGCACTTAAATATAGTTGAGCGCTATATAAACTTCAATCTGTATTAAGTATGATTTGTCGTTGCTCCTCTAGGGTCTAATGCTGTAGACTCTTGGCTTGATATTGATTGCTATATCGTGAGAGCTTCTAGAAGTGTGTGTAATAAGTATTTGTTGTCAAAAAAAAAAAAAGTAACATTTGAGACTTAGCCAAAATAATCAAAGATTTAAACTGTAGTTTTCTGTTCAGATTTTTGTGGCTTACTACAGTAGCAAGTACCAAACTCTGTGGATTCATTAATTGACTTTTCATTGGTACAAAGACTTCTTTGGGAACTTCTAGTTTTAGAAACCTGCTTTAGGAAAATTATTTAGTCACTGATAGGTATTTATGCTTTTAATTCTTTACTCTTTGAATAGTAAGAACTATAATACCGATTCTTGGTACTGAACTACTGTGACTGGTTACATATGATCGCAAGCAGCCGGTGGTGTTTACCTCTTCACGTGAAGTTGCTTGTGGAAAAAAGTAGAAAGCATGGTATGTGGATCTTTTAATGGTACTGCAGAACATGGTACCGTGCTCATGTCCGAAGTCAGGATTTTTGCTGGGAAAGTGGCACTTCTGCTTCGTTAGGGTGAGGATCTGTGTGCTGGGCTCTCATTCTTGGAGGTAGATGCAGGAGTGTTTGGAGTTCTGAGAGATGCTGCCAGCTCTGCAGGTAGAGTGAATGCATCAGTTGTAAAGGTGGCAACAGGATTTGGGGGTTGAAAGCTTAATGCAGACCTGTGCAAAAGCAATTAACCCTTCTTTGTAGTTTACTGAAACATATTATAAAACAGAAGGAGCCTTTAAAGCATACATAGACTGTAACAGAAAGAGGTGATGTCCAAGTACAGTGCTGGTAACATGGGGAAGGAAGTTAACCAGCACCGAAGGCCTAAGCCCGTCTGGCCCCAATTTATGTTTTGGATACTGCACTGTGCAGGACTGCTTCAACAGATGACCCTGTATGGTGAAGCAAAACCACACAAAGATAATTACTTTTTAGATGCTTTCTGGAACTCCCAGTATCTTAAGATACAACTGAACTGTATCCTGAACGTGAATGTCTGGTACAAGCTGGGGGTTTACTACTCAGTGGGCTGTAATTACTGTAACTTCTTTTCTGGCATTCTACTTACAAACTTTAATTTTTTTAAGAGGCTCTTAATTCTTAATCTTCTAATGCTTCAGATATTTTTCATATGGAATTTTGTTAAAACAGATATTCCCAAATATGATGAACCCATTGCTGGCAATGGGCAGGAGTGGTCAGCACCACAGAGTTCCTATTCTTAGCACTTGGCTGAACTCTGCAGTACAGCATGGTGGCCATGTATAACCCTTGTGATCAAGGTAACTAAACAGGGATTTGCTCACTAACACTGTAACCTGCTTAATGTATAGAAGCACTTTGTATTTAAAAAAAATAAAAACAAACCATAAAACTTTATAAATATGTTTTTTAAACGTAGAAATTATATTCCCTTTATGGTTTGTTTCCACACTGCTAACACTGTCTTTTTTAATATTAAAAAAAAATAAAATTATAATGCTTGCCTGTTTACACGAGTGTAGAAGAAAGGGTTCTTGCACTCGGTGGCCCTATTTTTCCATTCTCCAAGGCCTTACTACATACAGGGTGTCATTTCTGCAAGTACCATCGTCACATTTGAGGGAAGGTACTCTCATACTCATTTCAAGAATGATCTTGTGTATTACATTAGTTCTCAACCCCTTTCAAATTGTCACTTCAGTGTTGCATAAAAAGGTTAAGGGTGCCTCTTCCCATTTAACCATGAAAAAGGCTGGTCAGAAACACCAGGCTGAAAACCATGGTCAAGCAAAAAATTGTTTCTGTTAAACCCAGTCCATCCTACAGAGCTGCCAGCAAAACTGTTTCTTTTACCAGCTTGGAATGACTTTTATACGGGACATTTCAGAGTTAAACATTTACTCCTATTTGCAGTTAGATTACTTTGAAATAAAGCTTTAAAATAAAACGTACTGCGAGAGACACTTTAAAGGTTTTATAACAGATCCAGTAGATCATATTATAGAACCACGTCCTTTTTTAATGACTTAGCATGAATAGTAACTTTTTAATATTTGCCTGTTACTGGTTTACCCCATATTATGACATTGTCTTGAAAGTCTAACAAACATTGCTCCACTGATTTTGTAGCACTCGGCTTTCTGATGTTAATTTACATGAAATCAATTGATTGCAGGAAAATACTGATAGGATTGTTGTAAAATCTAGTTAAGAGGATTGATGATTTAAGGGAAGCTTGGGATACATGTCTAAAATCCTTACTTACGCTTATCACAGGCAAAACAGTTGACTTGTGTTTTTCCTGAATTTAATGTATTGCCCTTTGATAAACTTCTAATCACTGATTCAGGTGGGGGGGGGGGGGGGGGGGG